CCGTGTTAAAAGAGGGTCTAAATCAAGAGTGGCAGAGCCGCGACGGGCTATATAGGAGGGGCGGCTATCGACGCTCACCCCTTTTTTGACATCGGTCATCACGGAGCGCAGAAGCCCTGCTCAAACACCTAGCGTCATTATTTTAAATCGTTCATTTTATTATCTTGTTTTAAACTTTTAAGTTAGTTATTATTTGTTTGGTCGAAGGCCATTAAAATCTTTTTAAAAAGTCAATCTGTGTTTCTATTTGTAACACAAGTATAACATGTTAAACCATTTTCAAATGAGTTTTTAGCCATGAGATCAGCAGTTTCATTGCCATTTATGCCACTATGGCCTGTAATCCACGCTAAAGAAACCTGAATGCCTTTGAGATGACATCTCTGCAATGTGTGTTTAATTTGGAGGATCAAGGGAATCTTATATTTACAATGCAATTGGATTGACAAAATTGGTCACAAAACATTTTTGGAGTCAGTAAGAATTACTAACTTGTTTAAGTTATGTATATAATAATAAAAATATGTTCTGTACATAACGTAAGACATCTTTGAATTTAATGTAAGATTTAATAATCAAATGATCACTACCAAGATTTTCGTTAGTTATATTTCATTTAAAGTATATAGCAATATCTGAAGACACAAATGTTATATCAGGTGAAGATATTTGTAAACAACCACTTACAAGTTTAATTTTGGTAGCTTCTCCGTTATTTATTGATATGAAATCGAAATCCAAGGAACTGTCTAATAATTGTGCCCCTTGGTGTCAATTTTATTAAACCAGTTGGTGTGATGCCCATTAAAATCTCCTCCAATGGAACATTTGCGTGGTCAAAGGGCAAATATGTTATTCCAGTCAGTTGAAGATGTTCTAACAGAAGATGGATAGTAAATAGGTAAAACATTTTCAAGATTCAAGTTGAAGATTTTGACATAAACTACTTCTGAACCAGTATTGCTTGTACTTATTGAATATTGATGCGCTTTAATTAATTTATGTGTCATTATAGTCACGCCGCCATATGAGTCGCATCTATCTTTCCTAAAAAATTTATATTCACTTATTCCTAGAGGCGAGACCTCAGCCAATCACGTTTCACTCACAATTGATATATGTATTTTTTCTTGTATCAACAAGGATTCTTATGTCAATTTTGAACAAGGATTCAAAATTGACTCTTTTGGGCTTAATACTTTGCGCATTCCACTGGAGTATAGTCAGCATAAAATCCTTTGATGTATTATTGATTGTGATTATTTAATGCATCTATCTTTCCTAAAAAATTTATATTCACTTATTCCTAGGGTGAGCCCTTAGCCAATCACGTTTCACTCACAATTGACATATGTATTTTTTTTTCTTGTATCAACATGGATTCAAAATTAACTATTTTGGGCTTAATACTTTGTGCATTCCACTGGAGTATAGTCAGCGTTAAATCCTTTGATGTATTATCCATTAACTGCATTTAAAAGTTTCTTTAATATTCTTTCTTCCATTAAAGTTTCATAAAGATTGTTTTCAACTCTTCAATTACTAATTTAAAAATATCGAGAATCTTTTCTTCTACTTTGCTTTCAGAGAACAGAATTTCTTTTACCCTTTTAATAATTACCCATATTTTAGGCATCTTTCGTTTCTCCTCTTGTTGTTCTGTACATGCGTCAGTTTCCATTCTTGCTACTTCTTCATTATTTAATATAGTTGACTAGGTTGCAACAATGGACTTTTTCTGCTTTGTATGTTTAACGTTATAATCAGGTATTTTTTTATATGTTTAGTTTTAATGTTTTTGTAAGTTGCTTGTTCTTTACTTGTATCCTCTTCTCCACTTTCGATATCTGATAAGTTTTGATTTATGTAGTTATTTGTTAGAAGTATATCTCTATACGATTTTTGTATAATCAGCACTTGGTACTATAGCAGCCTTTTGTACTTTGTTCATAGATGTTGGACTTTCCATAGTTTGTTTTGTCTGTTTTGAGTGTATCTCCAGTGCTTTTCTGTAGATAAAATTTTCTTGACTCATGATGTTAGGCATACTCTTTTCATTAACAATAATTGGGCATGCTTTATCAAATGCCATATGTGGGCCTTTATAGTTTACACATTTGTATTCTATAGTTTCGCAATTTGTATGTCTGTCTCCACACTTAGGACATAAAATCTTTATATTCGGGCAAAATTTTACGTAACGTCCAAAACTCCAGCATCCAAAATGTTGCGTGACTGGGAAGTGATAGATTTTGACCTTGCATCTACATCCATATCTATACACATATGAAGGCGGCTGCTCACTTTTGAATGTCAAACGAAATGTTTCTACAGTTTTTACAGTTTATTAACCGATAAGCTTGTATGGGCTTTTATACGGAATTTTCATAATGTCAATAATGACCTAAGTAGACCTTTTGAATTCAGTAGTTTGGCTATACCTAATTATTTAGGAAGGCATTGCAAAAAAATAATCAAATTTCATAATATTCTTCTAAGCGCTGCACTTCTAACGGTGTTATTAATGCGTCAATGCGGTAATGATTGTCAGCGCTTTTTGTTGAATCACTCCATATACGATATTTTTGTTTTCTCCTTGTAATTGTTGTAAAACCCTCTTCACTGTTATCTTCTCCGTTATTCTCCATTTTTTCTTTTTTCCGCTAACCTAATTTTGTGTTGGGTTTCCATTTTATTTTTCTCTAGATTTTTAGAATTTTCTCACTCATGTTCACAATCGCTTACACCTTTACAATCACTTTGGTCACTATTCTCAAACTTACTTATTCTCTTCCTCATTACCCTCTTCCATGGTACAGAAATTAGTTTAAAATAAGTAGAAAAAACAGAGATTCAAACGAATAAAACGCTGAAAAATAATATTTTTTGGAAAAAATTATCAAACGTTTATCGATTTATTGATAAGTTTAAAGCTATATTGGACTTCATTATATCACACGACGAGCTCTTGGAAAAGTAATATATTACGTTCGGAGACAAGAATATCAATCGCGTGGAGTGCAACACTGTCACTTAATGTTAAGGGTAAAAGACGCCCCCATACTTCACGAGCCATCGCTTGATGAGGTTGCATCATTCATTTCAAAGTAACTTGTGCTATACCTAACAAGAATATTTCACCAACACTCTTTCAACGAGTTACGTCATATTAGACCCAGAAATATAATAAATATTACACGCGCCAAAAGAAAACAAGAAGAGGTTTCGTAAAAGTTCGTCGTTTCGGATTCCCCACCCAGTCATAGAAGTACTTGTTGTTATTTATACAATGTTACTTACTATTAGAGATATAGTAGAATAAATAGCTGCAAGAGAAACATTGTCGCCTAACAGTAGACTTTAATACTTTGTACGCAAAAAAGAATGGATTATGGTTAATGATTATAATCCCGCAGTTTTGCTAGCATGGAATGGCAATACAGACATTCAATATGTGTGTGTTCATTAAGTATACCACCAAAACCAAGAAAACTCACGTTGCTGATTTGTTTTAAGACATAAACTCTACAAAACCTTAAAGAAGCCGCCTGTTTAACATTGGCATTAGATTAGACTATATACTGTAGAGAGTGCGGCACTCTGGAAGCCAGTGACACTCTACTTGGTATTACTTTGTACGGTACACTTACACTTACACGTACAATTCGAAGGCTGGACGTTAACATCTTTTGCAACCAGCACGTTAAATTTTAATTTGATATGATGTTGCTAGAATCGGAGTCCACCGATATTTAGTTTTGGATTGATGACCACTATTTTAAACGACCTAAAGAGTTGGAGAATATTATCTTGTACAGTTTTGTCCAAAATTACGATATTGTTAAAACACACCCAGACTCCTCTAAAGTCGAGTGCTACGAGATAAATGACGGTAAAGTTCCTGAAAAGTAGAGCTAACCCATATTTGATCAATCACTGTTTATACTACGGGGAAAAAGTACCAGAGAAATACTTCATCACTTTACTTCTTTTACTCAAGCCATGTTTCTTAGATGAACTTAAAATGACAGATACTTAACCGGAGGCCTTTAATTTGACGAAAGATTTAAAAGAAGACTTCGATTATGGCAACTCAATGAAAGAGTCAAGATACAAGATACAAAAGTATTTGAAACGATAGAATCTTGTTATATAATCAATCCTGGTATAAGTTGCTGAGATAAACGAAGAAAGGGAAATTGTAGATGATGATGATGGTCCTAAAACCCTTTAGACTTTGAAGCTTTGGAAGCTGCAAATGCAATGTATGACTTTCAGAGAATCAATCTGGTAGAGGAAGAGCAGACTGATCTTCAAAGTATTATCGCAAAACCTAATGCCGATCAAAAGAGTCTTCGATTAGATCACAAATTAAATGGACACAACTGATAATAACGCTGACCTTTTATGCCATTTTTTGAGTGGAACTGGTGGCACTCGAAAGACCTTTTTAATAAAATCTCTGAATGTTTGGGTTAAGACGTACTCATACAACAAAGTGTCAGTTAGTGCTGCAATAGGAGTAGCATCGACTAGACATAGACTATTTTCTACTACTTTATTTTATTTCTTACTACTTTCTGATGAAGTGCTCTAAGTTCTGACATCAGATGTGATAGAAGTAGTGTTGTTTATCATAGACGAAGTGTCGATGATATCCAATGTTACTTTAACATATATTCATCTACGCTTGTCTGAGATATTCGACACAAGCGACGATCAAAACGGGTGGTTTGGAAAAAACATCTTGCAGTTTTTGGGGATCTCTTACAGCTTCCGCCAGTAAGAGAAAAGTCAGCTTTTGAAAATCCATTAACCTCCTGAGGCTTAGAGTAGTATATATACAACATAAAAAATAAAAATTCATTACACCTCCATCTGTTGAATTATAATCAAAGTTTCGTAATTAGACCACAGACAATATATTGCTTGAATATTTAAAGCAGCCATTTTTTTACAACTTGTCATATTTTTTGACATTAGTCGACTTGTTGCGAAAGATGGCAGAACAACGGCGGCGACGTGGTGAGTAATCCTTAAATTTTATGCAAATCTATAGTATTTTTGATGTGAAACTATAATTTAAATAGTCTTCTTTGTAATGCAAACAATATTTTACAGATTGCGGTAGTTATTTATGGTATATTTGAATTTAACTACCTACGTCGTATATTTACTACATCGGTTCTTAATTCCGTACCTACATGTTCGCAGTGCCGATCTAATACCTATACAACATTAGAAGATTTCATTTGTTTTTGTTACATGTATAGATTTATGTTTCAGTTTTGAAAGATGCAGACATTACCGACGCCCTCGAAGATTCGGATCTGGCTATTTTATCAGACGACGATGACGGTAAAGAGTCACCTCCTGTGAGAGAGTCTAATCTAAGTTATTCTGATTCAGGTTCTCCTTCAAAATCTGAAAGCGAATCTCGGTCGTTGTCAGAAATTTCTACTTCATCGTCATTCTGTCGAGGACATTCTACAACTAGAGGCAGAGCCAGAACACGAGGAGGTCGTTTAAGACAACAGGGTGTAAGAACAAGAGGAGGACGGAGTGTTAGTACTCGCAGTTCTACTGCGCAATTAACTGACAATAACTGGAATGGAGATTTTTCACCTTTGAAGCGGCCATTGTTCCAACCAAGATATATTTTAGTGGACAAGAAGTTACGGTCGCCAGAAGAGTTTTTTAAACAGTACATTGATGATGATATTTTAGAGAAGATTGTGGTTGCTACTAACCGGACTTACTTTTCAAAAACAGGTAAACAACTGAAAATTGCACTGAAAGAGCTGAAAACTTTTATAGGAATACTATTAGTCATGGGTGCTATTAGTTTGCCACAAATTAGACATTATTGGTCAACACATAACGGAATAAACATTGTCAAAAAGGCTATGACAGGGAGAAGATTTTTCACAATTTCTTTGAAGATAGTTATGAAACCTAACAAATTGTTAGTTTCATAACTATTATTTCAATATATCCATAAATGTTGTAATAAACTAAGTGTAGTTCAATTCGAGTTTTATTTCTGTAGTAATTGAGAACCGATGTTGCTTCTAAACAACATTGAGAAAATCCCAGTTTTCTACTACAGATTTCTTATTTTATTTTTCCAGGTATTAATAACATTGTTATAGCTCACTGATCTCATTTTTATTACATTTTCGAACTTAAAAAATTCTGGGCCTCAGGAGGTTAATTACTGAAACTAACAATTTGTTAGGTTTCCTAAGTATGCCAAATCTGTGAATCGAACTGTTATATACGATGAACTTACAATTAACATGCGACAGCTCAATGATTCTGACTTTGTTGAAATGCTAAATAGAATAAGATTATGTGTGACTACATAAAAAGACCGCGACTTACTCTCGACTAGATTAAAACTCTCAAACATGATTCAAATGAAAACAGATTAATTGAAATAATTAAGGAGTCCGCACACTAATGGGAACGGAAAGGGATCGTAACCGTATCGCCTCGAGTCGTTCAGAATGGTTTGTATTTAAAGTCCCTACTGCAACGCACACTAATCGGAATCGTACCGTGATCGCCTCCCTCAGAACAGGCTCCGAACTTGCAATTCCCGCGCTTACGGCTCCTTACGTCTCTCCGTCCCCGCGCTTACGGCTCCTTACGTCTCTCCGTCCCCGCGCTTACGTCTCTCCGTCCCCTGTCCCCTCCTGCGACTTGCGTGCTAAAGAGAAAGACGCCGCCATCCTGCCATTCGCAAGGCGTATTTCATTTGTGTTGCGCGTATGTTTTATTTAAAATTTTAAGTTAGATTCAAACACAAAATAACGATGCAAAGGGAGAAACTTATTGAAGAAGTGAGAAAATATCCATATTTATATGACTTAAGTGACGCTAAATACAGTAATAGTATAAAAAAGGACGAGGCTTGGAAACAAATAAGTATTACTTTAAAGCAATCTGGTAAGTACCTACTCCTATTTAATTTTTTATCTAATGTTTTTCGCGTATGTAGGTATGTATGGGAAATAAAACAGTTGTGATTAATATAATTTATGTGATTATTATAATGTAAAATTTAACTGTAATATCCATTAAGAATTAACATTAATATTTAAAGCTAAAAGCTACAATTCTGCCATGGTACTCGTCCGGTAGAAGTTTGAAAATATGTTTTGAACATTTCACGTACATTAAAAGCAGTAGCCATATGGGCACCACTAATATTTGGTAATTGACTTAACAATCGGTCTTCGCCGAATTCAACTGTAATTTCATGTTCTGTTCTGTTCGGTTCCTGTAAATTCATCTCAATGTTATATGTCCTCATCATGTTGTGTAAAATGCAAGTTGTTAATACCACTTTATCTACGAGGGTGGATTGAAAAGTACTCGGCCTAACCAAGAAAATAAACACATACTAAATCAGTTATATTTTTATTTTTCTACATAATCACCATCAAGTTCAATACACTTTTGCCACCTCCCCTTCCAAGCATTTAGACCGTTGAAAAAAAATGATTCTTCCTTAGAGTCAAAATATGCGTCTACAGCTGCTTTGACCTCGTCGTTTGTCGAAAATTTTTGACCTCCCAAGTGCTTTTTTAGGTTAGGGAACAGAAAGAAGTCTGATGGTGCCAGATCAGGTGAATACGGCGGATGCGGTAACAGTTCAAAGCCACAGTTGTGAATTTCAGCCATTGACTGTACTGACGTGTGAACACGGGCGTTATCTTGATGAAACAGGACTTTTCTTCTGAGCATTCCTCGACGTTTTTCTTTTATTTCCTCTCGTAAACGACGTAGTAAGGTGCAGTAGTAATCAGAGTTTATAGTCTGACCCCTTTCGAGATAATCATAATCACACCTTTCGAGTCCCAGAATACTGAAGCCATCACCTTATTTGCCGACAAAATCGACTTAGCCTTTTTAGGGGGTGGTGAACCAGGTCTTCTCCACTGTTTTTATTGTTGTTTTGTTTCCGGTGTACAGTAATGAACCCATGTTTCGTCCATAGTAACAAAACGATTCAAAAAGTCATCTGCATCGGCTTCAAATAACTCCAAACAGTCGCGTGAAATAGTCAATCGCGTCCTTTTTTGTTTAACTGAAAGTAGTCGCGGAACCCACCTCGCAGACACCTTGTGGAAACCCAACTCGTTGACAATGATGTTTTGAGTTTGTTCATAAGAGATGCCTATAATCTCGGCTATCTCTCTAATTTTTAATCTGCGGTCTCCCATTATTAAATCAAGTACTTTTTTTAATATTTTCGTCAGTAGTTGACGTCGAAGGCCTTCCAGAGCGGGGTTCATCTTTCACACTCTCTCTACCACGCTTAAATTCTGCTATCCATTTTTTGACGGATGAATATGACAGAGCACAATCGCAGACAAGGCTTTTGATGATAGCCCCTTCTTATGGAGGTACTTAATGACGGCACGCTGCTCGATTTGCTCCATTCGCGGAAATTATGTCCGATTACTTTGTTAATAAATTTATAAAATCCGAACTAATTATCGCACACGTTTCGAACTTCACACAATGAACTAGTCTGAACTGAACTAAATAATGTGGGTAGATTTGATTTTTAGAATTGAATGGACCTGTGTTAGGCCGAGTACTTATCAATCCACCTAGGTACAAACTTTGGATGCAATTTAATATTTTTGTTGTAAATCGCAAGTTTTTGATATAAAATTCCAAAAGCGTTTTCAACAACCCTTCTAGCTCGTGATAAGCGGTAATTATATTGCCGTTCAGGATCTGATAGTCTCCATGTATTTGAGCGAGGATATGGTCTTAATAAATATGTCTTCAATGGAAATGCCTCGTCTCCCACAAATACATGTGGCATTGCATGATTAGTACCTGGTAATGGTTTGTCACATGGAATATTTAATGTGTTTCTTTCAAGTGCCTTTCCAAATGTAGATGACGAATAGATTCCGCCATCGCTGTTTTTTCCATAGGCTCCGACATCAACCGCTATGAATCTGTATTCAGGATCAACTATAGCTAACAAAACAATAGAAAATGTTTTTTTATAGTTAAAAAACAACGATCCACTATTGGGAGGTGCAATTATATTTACATGTTTGCCGTCAATGGCGCCTATGCAATTCGGAAAGTTCCATTTATTTTTAAATCCTTCTTCGATTCCTTGCCATGCGGCTGTAGTTGGTTGAGGTATATGAATTGGCATTAATTTATTTATTATTGCCTTGCACACATCTATTACTATCAAACGAATAGTTGATTCTCCTAAACGGAAGCTCGATGATAAATTAGTAAATGTAGATCCAGTTATGAAGTACCTGCAACAATAAATGTATATTTATATAATACGTGTATATGTTTATGTGAATGTGTGTGTGTACGTACTCCTTTTCACACATACCTACATTATGTAACTACATGCGCTTGACATAGTTAACCATGATTTATTTTATTTCAGAATCTGAATGCAAGAAAACTTGGTTAAATCTTAGAGAGTCTCACCGACGAGCTATGAAGAAGCGTAAAACTAAGAGTGGTCAGGCAGCCCCGACGACGAAAAAGTGGACCTTTGAAGATGAAATGAGTTTTTTAGTACCTCATTACAAAGAAAGAAATACGATCTCTTCGGTTGATTATGATGACGATTCAGATGTTAGCAGTTTCTTGGGTAATGATGATTCACAGAACTCAATAAACATTATTCAGTCTCCAGAAAACTCACAACCGGAAACTTCTGCACTTTCGCCGCGTCCTAAGTCTTCTGCATCTTCAGTTACATCCAAAACTTCAAAAAAAAAAAGTTGAAAGCAATTCAGCGTCACAAACTTTAATGAAATATTTATTAAATCACAACGAAACCAAAAAAGAAGATGAGATAGAAACATTTTTTAACAGCATTGCGGCAACGGTTAAAAAAATTTCTGAATATAACCAAGCGGTTATAAAAAGTAAAATATATAACGCAGTTTCGGAAATGGAGTTAAAAGAAATCGCAGAGAAACAAAGCTATTACAGTTATCGCAACCCTTACATTCCCCAAAGAGAAGATGACATGCCTCGAGGTTATACCACTCTAAATAACATTAGCCACGAGATACAATCAACATCTGGCGCTTCAAACATTGATGATTTTAATATGTCAAACTTAGAAGAAAATGGCACGTCAAATGCTGACGATCTTAATACTTCAAACATTCTTTAATTTATACAATGATTGTATTTTTGTTGTAGCGCTATTTTTGTTAAATTGCCATAATTTTTTGATTTTATGATATCTTTTAGAATGATAAAAAATATGTGATTTATGAGTATTTTTTTTTACCTAAACTAAAAAAAAGTTGCAGTTACTAACCCATACGTTTTGAATATTGTAAAATAGTTGATATAATTTTGGTGTACAATAAAGTATATTCTATTCTATTCTATTCTTACGCACACACACAAAATATACACACACACATCAGACATAACACGTACACCCCCCGTACACACCTGATCGCTAATGAGGGTTGCGTTCCAAAACAAATAATTTTATCGACAGAGGGTAAAAATTAATCTATCTCGGAGTTTCGGAACCGAGTTTTATTTTGTACACTACAGACGCCAGCACATCAACCTACTACAATCTGTCAAAATTCTTTAATAGATTTTCAACTTTATCGCTAAAGCATTAGGTTCAAAGTTGATTGGGAAAAGCTGGCGTCTGTACAAATATTTTTGTAGACCAGATTAAAAATTCCAAAAACAAATGCAATTTCTCACCTTAACGTTACAGCTAGTTTTTCTTCGGGCGATATTGTTTCTCTGAATGTTGTATTCTTCTTCCTTATACATTCATCTATAGACTGCAATATGTTATAAAAGAGAAATTTCGGCATATGAAAATAAATATAAAATTTCTCTTCATCATCCATCAAATGTTTTTTTATAGTCCGAAATTCCCCTTCAGTACTCCTTGCTTTATTCATATTGTGTACCCAATATCTTTTCCTTTTTTTCTTGCTATTTTCTTTTTCCTCTTCATCAAGTACTATGGCTATGATAGCCAACTCACGTATTGTAAACCAAGACATAACCGTGCGCTACACTTAACGTTTGGATTCAAACTGATCTGGTGCCAACCAGGTCAGCCAGCGGGCGGCGAGGCGTAAGCGCGGTGTCGCCTAGCCGTAGCCGAGTTGACGTACAGGCGCTGCTGATACGCTTTCGTTACGTGCATACGGTAGGTTGACGCCTGGTTGACAGCGAGGTGAAAGGCGATACGGTTACGATCCCTTTCCGTTCCCATTAGTGTGTGGACTCCATTAAACACCTCTCGAAACTTCCTGATAATACCGTTTGCTTATTGCCTACAAAAAAAAACATGTGTCTACAATTAAATACTGCAATGCTTAGATCTCTGCCACATACCGAAACAAAACTTAAACCTGTAGATAGCATAGTGACCCAGATACCCAACAAAAGAGCTTGTGAATGCATAAAAAATATAAAGACGATGCTTCTTTGATAGCGGGCCTGGAAGAGAACATAATCATAAAAAGTAAGCAGGAGTAAAAGTCACGTTAAGGCACAATATTGACGTAAGTCTTGGTTTAGTTAATGGTTCTATCGGTATGGTGCAAAGAGTTAAGGTTGATACGTAAAATACAAAAATAATTTAATTTAATTTAATTAAGTATTTTATTGGTATTATATGTTATTATATTGGTATTATCAGTCGTTGCTTGCGCTTAGCTGTGAGTGTCCCGCGTTAACGATGACCGGTCCGGCGGGGTCAACGACCTCCACCGTGAAGTATGCTACGTGCAATATTGTAATAAATGAGCTATTACAGTTTATTCAGAACAAGGAACATACTACTCTCTAACGAGAGATTCAGAATAAATGTGATATTATGGACGAGGGTGGAATTATCAGGTTGTGTATAACAGCTTTCAAGCCTGAGGATATTTTGGCAGCGAAGAATCTTCTGTTCCAGTCGCTCAGAAAATCAAGAAGAAAAGTTCTTCGTAAGAGAGAAGGAAAAAGTCAACGAGGACTGGAGGACATCATCAGCACAATTAAAGAGGTTGTGGCCCGTAACTTGCATAAGCTGCCTCCAGTCACATTTGATCATATCGATGTCACTAGGTTACTTAAGGATTTGATTACGCTGCGAAATTAACTCCAGTATGTTAAGGAGGATTATTTAAATAGCAAGAATTTTACACAGTTAAAAAATGAAGTGACGAATCTTAAGCAAGCGTCCTTAGTAAAAAAATTTGAGTGCAATAATTATGTGAATAGAATACGGGGATCTGCTAATTTACAAGATAGTTTTAATTGTGAAAGTGGTCCAATTGGTATAATACATATACCGCCCGAGACAACGACATCTAATATTCACACAAAGACGACCGTGGCAATGAGTCAGTGCACTACTAGTGGCACACGGTCTGCCCCTGCGCAGCGCTTCCCGTCTCCATCGCGTGCACCGGATGGCGAATCATCTGTCTCTGTTACACATCGCATCGAGGTACCCGTGGAGGCCCATGCAGAGATTTCGAACGTGTCTGAAACCGCGTTACTGGCCTCATTAAACGAGCATCGCATGGATCCCGAACGCGCAACCACACAAACTAATACACAAATGAGTATTTTGGACCTTGTGCGTAGTAATAATAATGGTATTACTTGAAAACTTGAACTGGAAAAAAGTGAAGAGTGGATATTAGTGCAGAGGAAAAAATATAGGAACCTGTTTATAAATAATGTACAGGTCGATACATGTGAGAGTGACATTATATCGTACATAAAAAGTAAAACCAACATAACAGTGAAGTTACAAAAAATAAAGTCTAAGCAGACAAAGGATTATAGTTCTTACAAGGTACTTGTTCCTAAACATAAACTAACTATATTTATGGATTGTAATCTGTGGCCTGGTGGAATAATATTTCGTAGCTTTGTTAATTTCCGCCGACGTGAAAATAACAAAGAAAGTGATTCAAGTAAAAATGAGACGTAATTTTAATCATTATGGATGAAGCATCACTTATTTCGTTTAATTGTAAAAACTTTAAGAGAACCCGAGAGTGCGTAACTAATCTGAGTCGTAAGGCAGATATTATTGCACTGCAAGAAACCTGGCTGTTACCGCATGAAATATCAGAACTCAGTTATGTTAGCAAGGAATTTGGCTACTACGGTAAGTCAGCGGTAGATACTTCTCAAGGTATTTTACGTGGGCGTCCGTATGGCGGAGTGGCGCTGTTATGGAATAAGTTGAAGTTTCACTGTGTTTCGGTTATTGAATGTGATAGTGATCGTGTTGCGGCAATGAAAATTAGTACTACGGACCGAGAGATGTTAGTTTTTAGTGTGTATATGCCTACAGATTGTGCGGAAAATTTAGTAGAATACGTTCAGTGTCTGAGTGAGATTGCGGCAATTGTTGAAAATTGTGATATTGAATCTGTTGATATTCTAGGGGATTTTAATGCCCACCCAGGGCATTTGTTTGGTACTTAAATGTTAAATTTTTGTAATGAGTTAAATTGGAATTGTATTGATCTTAATATTTTGGGTTTAGATTCAGACACATATACCTTTGTCAGTGAAGCACATGGTAGTAGGAGGTGGTTGGATCATTGCATAATCACTGAGGCGGCGCGGAGTTCTGTGGTCTCTGTGAAGGTACACTACGATGTTTACTGGTCCGATCATTTCCCTTTAGAAATTCAGTGCGAGATTGCTAATCTGATGCCTAAGCAAACTTTGATGTGTGCCTCAACTGACAAAGCTATATGGGGTAATAGAAATAAGAGTGAGTTAGAATTGTACGCAAAACTCTGTAATGAAAAATTAAAAGAAATTGAATTTCCTATTAAATTAAGTAGTTGTTGTGATACTCTTTGTAATAATCATAGTTTGGATCACTTAGTTATAATAGATAACCTATATTTGAACATTGTAAAGGTTATGCAAGAGGCAGCTAGGCTTAGCCATGCGGGTGGTAATGGTGACAGGAAAAATGCCCACCCTCTTGCGGGCTGGAACAAACACGTGCGGGCTGCGCACCAAAATGCCCGCCAGAAATTCCTAAACTGGGTGTGGTATGGAAGGCCGAGAGAGGGCTCCTTATAGATAGATATGTGCGAGTCGAGAAAAGTTTTTAAAAACAAATTGAAATACTGCCAAAATCACCAAGAGCAAATTAAAATGAATATACTAGCTTGTAAGCATGAAAAGAAAGACTTTCGGGGTTTTTGGCAGCAAACAAAGAAAATGGGTCCAAAGTCCGGCGTCCCGGTGAGTGTCGACGGCGCTAGTGACCCGAAGGATGTTGCGAACTTGTTTCGAGCGCATTTCCAGGTTCAGCCTGTCACCGCCACGGGCAATGCTGGTAAATGTGATAGGGTGGTTGCTGAGCCGATCGTGACCGGCGTGCCAGAACGTTTCACTGCCAAGGAGGTTTTCGAGGCGATAAAAGAAATGAAGCGTGGCTAGTCGCCAGGGCACGGCGGCCTCAGCATTGAGCATTTCCTTTACGCGGGGCCTCACCTGCCAAGGTTGCTGGGAATGCTGTTCACAATCTGTAGGAGGCATGCCTACTTACCTGCGGATCTAATGAGAACGGCGTAGTTCCAATTGTTAAAAATAAAACTGGGGATATTCCGAAATATCGTATCAAGACCAACTACCGACCGATCTCATTAGCAACTGTGACGGCTAAAGTGCTCGATTGTTTGCTTGAGAGACAACTTAAACAACATCTTAAGTTTCACGACGCCCAGTTCGGTTTTCGGCCAGGGTTATTCACGGAG